TTTTCCCAGAGTGCCGGTGAACCATGTTCTTTAGCCTTACCAGCCATGTTACTACTACGACGAAGCAAAGATATGAAACACAACAATATAGTTTTCGATTAAAAAATTGATTAAAGAAAGTAAAAAAAATGAAAAAAGGACACCAAATGTTTACGTGGTTCGGTCAAAATGACCTACATCCACGGCAAAGGAGGCCACAACTTTATTATAGCATCAAAGAAGAAGATACAAAGCTTTCATTCATACAATACACCCTCCCAGAAGCATCAAAAAAACATAATGATTTGCAAATTTCTCCCTTCCCCTTGATTCATACATAGAAATGCAGTAGTAGCAGTTGCCTACACGCCCCTCGGATTCGTACTTCAGCAAACCCAAGCATAGAAATATTATCAATAAACAGTAAAGGGCAGCTGCTGAATATCTGAAGTTTCGGCTTCAGTAAAGCCAAGCAAAGCAACCATCACACTTCCAAAAACCAGGATCCATGAAAGCAAATTATAGAAATATCCAATCTATCAATTTGAAGGTTCAGCTTCAACAAACCAAACCAAAAGGATACCCATCTACTTTGAAGGTTCAAGATTTTCAAGATGCAGCTCCACCAAACAATACCAAAATGTTTAAATCCTCATAAATATTACCAATACACAACACAGGAAGACTGCTGAACATGTGAAGGTTCGGCTTCAGCAAACCAAAGCAAAATAACCATCACAGTTCCAAAAAACCCGGCTCCATCATACCAAACTAATCACAAGTTCTACATGAACCAAAGGAAATAAGCCAACTTTTTTTTTTCCTTCACAAAGTAATCAGAAGTTCTACACGAACCATAGAAAATAAGGCATGTATGAAGAAACCAATTCATGTATGAACAAGCCAATTCGAACAGCACTTAACACGTTTCTGTGGGAAAACCACAAAACCTGCAAAGCCACAAAACCGCAATGCCACAAAACCACAAAACCGCAAAACCGCAGATCCGAAAAAAAGTACTGCAAGATCTGCAACTTGGATGGACAATGCCAAAATGATCCCAAATCTAGGTGTACTACTCAGGTAAGAGTTAGATGAAGTAATTTCTCTTGTGCCACAAGAACTACCTAAAGCCATTGTTCGTTAAGAAGCAACAGATCCACGACAGGGAAGGAGGAGAAAAGAGAAATGACAGAAACAGGAAAGAAATGTGAAGGAGAAACCATCACGAACCGCAAAACGCAAATCCTTCGTCAGATCCTCAAAGAAAGAAGAAAATAGCTTGTCTTACCTTAGATCTGTCGGTCGAGGGACGACGAAAGAGGAGGAGAAGGGGACTCGAGGGAAGCAGCGGGGATCACCGAGGGTGGACGG